GATCCAACTTCTGACATCAGTATTGCAATAGTTCTACATCCTTGAAATACTGAGTCATTTGTACATTGTATGAATATGTAGGGTATTTTGGTTTGTTGGTTTGTTTGGGATTTTTTCTCTATTAAGTCCCTCAAAAAAATAAGATTCTCCAGGAAATAAATGAGACTTCTCAAAGCTGTTTAAAATCTAGAATGCCTGAGAGAGCATTCAACATTTTAACAGATAATCTGAGGATTAAAGGAAAAAAGTGTTTCTTGATGACAAAATTACAGAGCTAGGAAAAAAAATCTTCATATGAGAGGCTGACTAATAAGCTTGACAGTCATGCAGGAAAATACTAACTGCATCACACCGTTGGTTTTAAATTACTCTGACTTGGTACAGGAACCTGAGAATCATTTTGCATAGTTGCAAGACATAGGATCAGTGGTCTGTGACAGCCAAAAGTAGAACATCAACAATTCCCAGAAAATAAACAGGGAAAAAACAGATTTAGACTACAGAGCAATTCTATGGCATGCCCTCATTTTGTATATTATGGTGCTTCCAGTGCATCTCAGAAATTGTACAACACACAGAAACAGGAGAAAGAAAAATTGAAGTAAAAAAGAATGATCAGAAATACAAAGTGGTTTAATCACAAGAGATTAGGTAACTCACTTTCCAGGCTGAAAACATCTCAAGATGAGGAATACTCCTTGCTGTTTTTGTAAAATCAAAACTCATCAGCACTCAGTGAAATCATATTTAAACCAAACAGAAAAGAAGCTCTTCTTTACAAAGTAAAATTCCATCAGGGGCATTCTTGCCACATGGTAGAAGCAAACAAAACAGTTGCTTCAAGAGACATGACCTACACAGAGACTCAGCTGCAAAATACCTGCATTTGCATGATCCAAATGCAGCCTTTTTGTCAGGAAATTGCGCAGCTTTGGTCAGTGAAGGACAGGAGTAGGGACCAGTGAAGATCTCCTTCTAGAAGGATCACTACCCGGTGTGGGAGACAAGGTGCCCATCATGGCAATTCTTGTATTCTTACCAAGTGAAAATTCTTACCAAGTGAAAAAGTGGTGAAAAACCAAGAGCCTCGCCAAAGGAACTAAATCCCAGGTAGGTCTTACCTAGAAATGCGGACTGAAACATCTTCATGTGCAGAAAGCACAGAATTCATGATTCCTGAGAAAACACACCTGTAAATTATTTTTATTACAGTTTAGTGACTTCCTCTGCAGATGAAGGGTGAAAAAAGCTAAGAGTGGTAATAGATGCTTTTCCCATTGTCTTTGGCATTCAAACTGTTTGAGAGCAATGGCACTTCTAACTTCTTGCATAGAAAAAACTCACATACCCAAACTTTGAAGTGTTTCTTCTCACCTGTGAGCATTTTGAGCTTTCTCAGCCTCTGCTCAGGCATCAGCAAGCTCAGGTATTTCAGAGCAAGAGATTTTAATACTTTCTCCCACAGGCACATTTTAAACCTCTCCTTGACTCAACCAGCCGGAGGCTGAGGTCTGCCAGGGTTGGGCTGGACATGCCCAAGCGTACTTCCTTCTACACCGTCACATCTTTAATACAAAGAGGAAACCTTTCCCAGCAGCAAACGCTTGCCATTTACTCACTCCTATTCTGCTCAGCTCCACGGATCCAGCAGATCGTAATGCCGTAGCGCTCTGAGCCGTGCCAGGCGCGGAGCCTGCCCGTGTGTCACGCTGCACAGCTGGCAGCTGTGGCCGGCGGCAGCCGCAGGTCAGAGCAGCTCCAGCAGCCCGGATTCCCCCGTTCCGCGCCGCTCCGCTCCTCCCGCCACAGC